TCGGCTCAGCTGGACAGATCCCAGCAACAGAGAACTGGAAACTCTTGGCAGGATGAGTCAGGAAACAGAGGGCTGAAGCAGCCCCTCGACAAAGACAGAAAAAAACTACTCTTCAAGGGTGCCATCCACACAAGACACCACCAGCCAATGAGTCATTCGCTTTCCTGTTTGTTTTTTCTTCTCCAGTGAGAGCAATTAACAAGGCAGTGGAAAAATAATTAATTGCAGAAAAGTATGCCTAAAGGGTCAGACGGGTTAAGCACCACGTTGTGTGCTTATTTTTCTCCTTCGCCCAAAAGCTGTAAGGATTTACAGTGATCACAGCGGTTCTGTTGATGAAAATGTAAATGATTACTTGTAATTACTTTGCAGTGCTGTCACAAGCACAGTATGGATTTTGACTATTCCAAGTATATCTTAAACTACCAAAATGTATTATAGATCTTTTACAGAGCAGTCTACTTTAACTCTGAATAGGCATTTATAAGACCTACAAGCAAGACCATTTGTTCTAATAAGAATGACATCGCTATCTGTTGTTCTGCCAGCAAAAAGTTCTAATAGCATCTATATTATTCTCTGTCTAGGAAAAAAGCTGCAGAAAACCAGCTTTGTACAGAACAGTAAAAAGAAGTTTCTAATACTCTGGTATGAAGCACACAGAAGTACGATTAATCCACTTAAATTAACAAATAATTCATTGGTGCCCATGTCAGTTTTCTACAGTTGATCCAGACATTGGCATGCATATAAAATGGGATAAAAAGATGAAGAACTGAGGAAAAAGAATGAATAAAGACCCTCTACTTCAGCTAAGAAAGGAGACATACAGTAAAGCCTCATACAGTAAGATGGCTGTAAGCAGTGATCATTAGTCATGACTCTGCATCGTCTGTGAATCAGACACCTCAACGTTATGTTCCCAATAGGCCATTCTGCCTCTTCAGGAACTGGCAGAGCGCTGGCAAATGGCTCTGAGCCCACGAGACAGAGACAGAAGGACAGGCAGAGAGAGAAGAGGGGGACAGAGGAGGGATTAGAGCAAAATAAGCTTGCAGTGACTGCAGAAAAATAAGCCCTGTCCAGAAAACGTGACAGATTGCTTAACAGGAAATCAACTGGAAAAAGAGGGGAAAGAAAACAATTTCTATATCATAGAATAAAAGCTCTACTGCCGATGTGTAATAGAGGTCATTGACTCCTGTTGCCAAAGCACAAGAAATTCTGAACAGTGGCTGGGAGACACAGTGTTTGGCTCCTGGACAGTACTGACAGCCTATGGCTTGCTGAGGTCTGAGCTGGACTGAATTGTAAGTGCTTAATCTTCTTGCTTTCCACCACAGCAGCTTCTTTTACTACAAGAGGTGCAATGGAAAAACGGAAGGGAACCTGAGTCTAATGATGGTAGGGAGCCAAGGCACTCTGAAGAACACATTCAGCCATGCATCTTAACCTTGTAAGATTGAAAACCATTCATTACCATTCACACTCATTACTCTCCTACTCAATACAAACAAAAGTACATTAGCAGCCACGCAGCCCTTTTAGCAGGTAGGTACTAAAAGAGTTATGACAGTGTTGCAGTGCAGAGGGAGGGAAATGCCACAGCACTTAGAGCCTGCTCTCTGTGCCTGGCCGAAACAGGCCTGCTTGGTCGAACAAGCACACCGAAAACATACAAAGCAAACATTCAGCAGAGGGCTTGTTTCCAGTCTCCGTTCGGTGGGCTTTGGCAACACTGTTGTTTTCACAGACTTCACTGCCCAAGCGCTGGTGTACAGGGCAGCCTCTGCACAGCCGAATGGATCCCAGCTGAATTTCAAACCCTGCCTCCGTTTTTTTTTTAAAGCTTGGTAAGTGATACGTGAAGACATTTATCAGAATATGTACAGTATATGTCTAAATGTTGACTCCTCTATTTTGGGTAGAACAGGACTTGTTGATATTGCATAGTAGCAACCCCGATGCAAAGCTGGCAATGCAGGAGAATTATAAATGATGTTGTGGATTCAAACACATGATCATGCATGTGAATGTGTATGCATACGTGTATAAATTTACACATGATTAACTGGGCATTATACACAGATGTAATTGCCATGGAGGGATGCTGTGTGCTGCTATGTGGGTTTCCTGTTTGAGTGTGCATTAATGACACATTGCAACCAGGCGACATGAGACTGAGAGGGAAACACTGAAATCTTCTCTGCTACACAGATCAAAACCAAACGACAAAACAAGACAAGAAAAAAAAAATGTTAAATCTAGCTGAACAAGCAAATGGGTTATTTTTTCTGCATGTCTTTTGTTGCATCAAACAGCCGCTTTTCGGATGTTTAATTGGTGAAAAGCTAAGGTATCAGATCTTTTTCTCTTGCCCACTTCAATGTTGAGTTCTCACCAGCACTTTCGGAGGTCAGAATGTGAGGTCTGTGTGCTCTAATGTATGAATTTCATTGTTTTTAACCTGCACTGGAGAAATACATCACAAGTTAAACAGCCTTTATCAGTGCAGCATTATTTTTGGGGATGGGAAAAGAGATCACTTGACATACATCATATAGTATTCTTATGCCTTCCTCACTGACTAAAGACCAAGCAGTCCAGGATGAGACAAAAGCAAATACTGACAAAGGAAAAAACTAAGGATGCCACTTTCTTTAAACGCGATATGATTAAAGAGGAGAAAAAAAAACAGCGTGAAAGGATTTAAAGGAAATCATTTCAAAAGTTACTGTTGGCAGACCTCTCCCAGTGCCTTGAAAAACCCTGAACCTACCGGCACCCATACACCTTCCCAACTCATTTCCGTGCAATCTGTCCCACGCAACGTGTGTCAGGAAAAATTAGCGCAGAACACAGAGCGCTGGCGGCCCCAGCTGTGGCTTCAGGACTGAGAACAGAGCGTGGTCACGGGCCTACTCCTGCTCCTCTTGGAACGCACTGCGCCGGTCCCCTCTGTCTCTCACGCCTGACAGTGACTAACTGCACCCTCCTGCTGAAGCTGTCCATATATTCCTTTTTTTTCCTGTTTAAAAGCCTTTACAAAAACGCCCATAAAGGATGCGCTCTAACGCCCGTAAGTATTTTTATTAAAACAACAGTCGTGTGAGAGCCTTTTCCATCCTCGTTACAACCTCCTCAAGGCTCTTTAAGAACACAGAAAAGTCAATTGACCTACGAGGTGCAGCTCTAAAGCACCATGAAATAAGAATAAAAGCCCACACTATTAATTCCTCTGATGTTTTCAACAGTCAAATGTTATAGCCTGCTTAAACGATCAGAAGTCGAATGCTTTATCTGTGCTTTTCCAGACCTAAATCCTTCCATGCAGCAGAACCCTGTGATTTGCCACTTTGCCGCTGATATTACACAAATTCTCTACGCCATAAACAGTGAAGAGGTCTGCGGAATGAATGCCTGGGCTACATTCGCAGTACAAAGCTTTCATTTCTAGCTGTTTGTGCCACAGACTTACATCATCATTCCCCATACATTTGACACAACTGCAGTTGCCTCAGGTACAGATAAAATGTATATACTGTACGCATCAGTATTAAAGAAAATGTGTCTCATAGCAACCCTGATCCAGCCCACAACATGCTGTACTGTACAGTACACAGCGAAGAAGTTATAAAAGTTGTGTTTTTATTTATTCTCCTGGAAACAGCAAAGAATCGCACATCCTATGTTTGGCACAATGTTCATTAAAATCAGCTCACGCCAACCCATCTTAGAAACAAGACTATTTCCTCATTAAAGATCCACTTGTAAAAATGAAGGCAGTGATTGGAGTTGTGCTGCCCATGCCTGACACTGCATGGCAATGTGGCCAAGCTGATGAGTGAGGAAGCCCTGTGACGCCTGCAGGCCTAGGGCTGGCCGTGCTGAATGAACGAGACCCACATCACACAACTGCAAGGCTGTGTCACAGTGCCAAGCGACCCCCTCAGCCTCTCAGCTGCAGCCCAGATTAGCACTGCCTGACCAGGTGCCCGGCGTGGCTCTGACTGCTGTACGACTTCCAGCAAGTCCAGTTGGAACGCCAGCTGGGAAAGCCTAGCTCTGCCCTTACGGGCTCGTGTCTATGACGGAACCCGTATATGTCCTTGCATTTCATTCGCTCACTATGTACCTTTAATCGAGTAGGGGGCCCAGAATGAAGGCACAGCATGCAAACGAAACTGCAGGCTGCCGAGGGATTTGACATCAGGCAGCTGAACAAAGGTCCAGCTACAGGAAGAACCCTTTGCTGGTTAAATTTCTGATTTCCCTTGTCGTTCCCTGGTACTGAAAATAAGTTGCACGTTTTAATTCAGCTATGCAGCAGCCATTTAGCTTTTTAATGTACCTGCCTGCTTGGAAGACAGCTGCTTTCTGCCATAGCAAGCAAAATTACTGGAATTGTTTTT